GCGTGTGGGATATCCAGGGTGATCCTGTGTGCGAACAGCAGCGTTGAGTGAGTGACGAACAGAGATTTGTACAGGCGCTGATGCGCCATAGCCATTTGAAGTGAACTTGTATCTGAACTGCATTCTTGGTTACTATATCTCTGAGTTTTGAGTGGGCGCTTGTCGCCAGTTTGCTGCGCAACCTGTTTACATGCATGAGAAGTGTGAAAGATAGCGAGTCTGCTTGCATTGGTATCAGAGCTGGTACCCGCTATTCCACGCGTCGTCGCCGTTCAGGAGAAGTCCGCCATAGCTGACCAGCGTAAGAAGAAGGACGCCGCGCTTACCTATAAGAAGACAACGGCGAGAGCGAGAGCGAGAGAGAGAGAGACAGAGAGAGAGAGAGACGAGGGATACAAGATTGGTTCACCACGTACCTGCATTGAGAGAGAGAGAGAGAGAGAGAGAGAGGAGCGATACAAGATTGGCTGTCACGTACCTGTGAAGACCATCGTGCAGTTCCACGAGGAAGAAGAAGGCGGCCATAGCCGCGGAGCTCAACCACATAGTGCCGAAGGAGGAGAAAGAGAGGTCAAAGGGAGAGATCGAGGAGAGAAGTGAAGTGGAGGAAGAARAARRRRAARAWRAAAAAAAAAAAAAAAARRRAAARARAARACAGACGGGGTRAARAAGGAGGCGAGSMRGARAAAGGGAAGGAAAATGGTGGCGASGAAGGGGAARCCRGCCGCCATAGCCGAACCGGAGTTTATCGAAGTTGATCGGGAGTTGACCGGGCGTCGATCGGAGTTGATCGGGCCGGGCGTTGATCGGAGTTGATCGGGAGTTGACCGGACTTTGACCGGGAGTTGACTGCGGCGTTGACCAAGCGTTGACCAAGGCATTGACCAGGACTGTTGACCACGATTTTGACCAAGCTGGAGCCGGTATAATCTCGCCAAGCCTTCAGCCTATCCCCTCGCCCTATGGATGTGCACACACCCGGTGGTACTTGCTGAGTCAAGTCTGTCTGTCTCTTCTTTCTACATCGAGTCTCTTCTGTCCAGGTGATAGGACTCTGTGGATGAAGGATAGGGCCTTGTTGACCAAACCCACACGGGTTGAGTAGGGCTAAAGGCTGTGTCTGACGACTCGACTGTCCCGGAGGACACAAACCCTCCCAAGGACCGGTACTGACCGGCGGGCTGCTCGATGTGGCATGGTAGGCCCAAAATCCGAGTTGTGGGCTGCACAACAGGCCGTCTAAGTCTTGAGAGGACCTGCTGATCGCTTTGTCCTGTTTGCGACGTTAAGGAATTCCTGAGGAGTTACAAGGGATCTCCTTAAATGCCTCCTAATCAGCAATAGTGACAGCCTTAGTTTAGGTCTAGGCTAGTGACCCTAGTTGACAGGATCCTGTCCGGAATTGTAAGTCCTTAGATCGAGTCAGTAGGTCTTGTCCGTCAAGGGGGTAGAGTCTAAGTGGTGAGGAGTGGAACCGTTGCTCAGTTGTGCACCTGACACCATGGCTGACACACGTGGTGGGAAGAATACTACCCCTTACACCCAGGCTCAAGAGGAGCAATTCGTTGCCATTCTGAGAGAGAGAAGGGAGAAGAAGGAGAAGGAGCTCCTCAAACAGGCGAAGCTAAAGGTGATAGCGGAGGAGCAGGCAGCGAAGAAGAAAAAGTTGGAGGAGGAGATGTTAAGATTGCAGCAGGAGGAGGAAGAGAAAAGGAAGGCTGCTAAAGAAGAAGAAGCAACAGAGGAGGAAGAAAGAGAAGAAGAACCCCTTGAAAGGAGGCGTGGGGGAGACAGAGGAGAGAGCAGTGGCACGAAGGAGGAGGACAAATGGATGGAGAAGAAGATCAGCGAGTGGGTAGCTAATTTATCATTGGGAGAAGACGAAGATTCACTGTTGTACGTGCCCCAGGAGGAGAAGGAAGCATTTGCTAGGGAGCTGGAAGCTATGCAAGATCCCCTGGTCCGCCAGACGCTAGAAAATGAAAAGAGCTTGGAGTGGAAACTGCGCCTGGCAAGGGAAGAGAAGAGGAGGAGGGAGGAGGCCAACCGGATGGCCAAAGAAGTGGAGAAGGTTCAGGCGTGTAGGCGGGAAGTGCAAGCGCAAGAAGAAACCCCTGCCAACTTAGATAAGATCCTGGGGTATTTGGAGGTCTTGAGTCGGGCCTGGCTTGAAGAGCATCAGGCCAATAAGGGTCAAGAGGTGACCATTCACGCCATACGGAGCGGATTTAGAGAGTTCGCGCGACGTGGTGACCCACGTCGGGACCGAAGTTAGGAGGTTGAAGGAAGGTGCAGAGAAGTTCTGCGCAGGTGCCATTGAAGGCGCCAAGTAGTGGCCGAAGTTGAAGTGCGTCCCCGCAAGGAGCTTGTCACGCTCAAATTCCGTGACTCATATAGCGAGAAAAATGACGATAGTTTTGATAATTGGGAGGCTAGCATTAACACATATGTGTACCTACAGCATATCGCCCCTGAGGAACAAGTCCTCGTAGCCTTCCATGCATTGAAGGATGACGCGGCCAGTTTCGCCTGGTCCCTTGCTTGCGCAGCCGATTGTGAGCACAATATGGTTGCGCACTCCAGGCTCACCCCTCTTTCCACTTTCCTCAAACTCCTGCGAGAGAGGTTCGCGGACATCACAAGGGGCGTTCGGGTCTCTGACAAGCTCCAGACCATCCACTCACGACAGTGGAGGAGTGCGCGAAAAGCTGTCATGGACGACTTGGTAGTCGTCCCAGACCAGTTATTTTATCGTGCCATGCTAGAGCCCCTGCGAGGGCATTTCTTTGATAAGACCCAACAGACCAACATTACGTATGATGCGTTGAGTAGGGAAGTGGTCCTGTTTGAGGCGAAGTCCATGCCAGTTTCCACTTTCTTCCACAAGGACTTGGATAAGGGAAAGAAGTGGAAAGGTCGTACCATCTTCGGCCAGGTCAGGGCCAAGGATCACTTGATCCTTACTTTAGATGAAGGTGGTACTGACGAAGTCCCCTACAGTCAGATAGAGTGGGGGCTAGAGAAGGAGGACAACTGTATGGGCCAAGGGAGGACCTATGTTGCTGTCACGGCTGGAGGGAGGGCGCGAGGTAGAGGAGGAGGCCAGGGCCGAAGGGGCCAGGCCACGGGCGGTCGAGGACCGGGCGCACAGGGGGTTGGCGGCCAAAGGAACCGCCAAGAGGGAGGTAGGGGTCAAGGTCCCCCGTCAAATCGTCAAGGTCCTACTCGGTCCCCGCAGCGGCGAGGTGGAGGATCACCTCAGAGGAGAGGGGGTTGGCACCCAGGTTGGCCACAAGGCCGACCTTGGGAAGATTTGGGCCTGGAGCAGCGTATGGACCAGGGTCAGTGCATCTATTGCGGTGACCCGGCCCATATCATTAAATATTGTCCTAAGTACAGAGAGGCCCGATGGGCTGCCTAAGAGTCAAAAGGCAGCCGCCGGTAGGGGTTGCAACTGCCCCTACGACTAGGCTATGTGGGGAAGTGAACGCGCGCGAACAAAAAACTCCCACACCACATGAGCCTTCGGCAGAGGTTGCAGGCCAACTGCCCCTACTACTAGGCCATGTGGGGAAGCGAGCGCACGCGAACAGAAAACTCCCACACCACATGAGCCTTCGGCAGAAAAAGCGTCTCTCTAGGCACTTCCCTCACAGGCGTGGCAGAAGAGTTGAAGGAGAGAGTGCCTTCCTGGGCCAAAATGAAGAAGGATGGTAAGGGACAACTAATCTTAGTGGATGTAGAGGTCTTTAGAAGTAGATTAGGGGCCCTTATAGATTTAGGGGCTACTCGCAGTTATATTAGCCGTAGAGCGCTGAAGAAGCTAAGGCTAGGGTTGAAAGTCCAAAAGTTGGAAGACCCCATAGTTAGTGTCCTCGCAGACAACCGCACTATGCCTGTCGAGGACTACGCAGAGGGAGTCCAGGCGTATTTCCGCCTAGAGAAAGATGGGAAGGTGGAGAAGGTTCTCCATTCCCTGACTCTCCTCGTGCAGAATGACCTTCCTTTTGATATAGTCCTAGGCATGGACTGGGGAGAGGCAGCAGGGGCCATACTTCATTTGAGAGAGCATGAGTGTAGGCTCCCTAGTCGTCAAGCGAGGTTAAGACCGCCCGCCTGTTTCATGTGTCTGGAGTAGATAACTCCTTGGCACATTGTTGTCTCAGTGCTCCCACGTTCGCGCGATTAGTGAGAAAGGAGCAGTTAGAGGAGCAGGTCTTCGTAGCCTATGTGAGGCCTGTCACTGATCCTAAAGAAGACACACCCATAGACCCAGCTATTGCCAAGCTGCTGGAAGAGTTCAAGGATTTAGCAGAGCCGCCGACAAGAGTAGTGCCGCGGCCAATCCAACATCGTATAGAGATAAAGCCTGGCAGTAGGACTTCTAAGGGAGCAGTCTACAGGATGTCCCCAAGGGAGTTAGAGGAGCTGCGAAAGCAGTTAGACGAGCTCCTCGGAAAGGGTTGGATTAGGCCCAGTTCATCTCCTTTTGGAGCACCAGTTTTGTTTGTCCCCAAAAAGGAAGGAGAGTTATGGATGTGCATAGACTATAAGGGTCTAAATGCGATCACATTGAAGAGCGTTGAACCGTTGCCTCGGATAGACGATCTCTTAGATCGGGTGTAGGGTTGCAGGTATTTTTTGAAGATCGATTTGAAGTCCGGATATCATCAGATAGAAGTCCATCCTGATGACCAGTACAAGACTGCGTTCCGGACTAGATATGGGCACTACGAGTTCATAGTGATGCCCTTTCGACTAACCAATGCGCCTGCCACGTTCCATTGCTGTATGAACGATTTGTTTAGGCCGTGGTTAGATAGATTTGTTGTAGTTTATCTAGATGACATACTAGTATTCAGTAGGACCCTCCAAGAGCATCAGGGTCATTTGAGGCAGGTCTTGGAGAAGATGAGAGAGGCTAACTTCAAGATCAACGCAAAGAAGTGCGAGTGGGCCAAAACACAAGTCTTGTACTTGGGCCACGTTTTAGACGGAGATGGCATTAAGCCTGAGGACAACAAGATAGCGACAATTAGAGATTGGTCGACGCCCCGCACGTTGACTGAGTTGCGCTCGTTCCTAGGCCTAGCCAACTACTATAGGAAGTTCGTGAGGAACTTCTCGACTATCGCCGCTCCCCTCGCAGGTTGCTCAAGAAAGAGGCGATCTGGCAGTGGGACAAAGACTGTACGTCTGCGCTAAAGAAGTTAAAGCGCGTTGATAGAGTATCCTGTCCTCAAAGTAGCAGATCCGTCTTTGCCATTTGTTGTCACCACGGACGCGAGTCGGTATGGTATAGGTGCCGTGTTACAGCAGGACGACGACAATGGCTACAAATCCGTAGAGTTCATGTCAGCGAGGATGCCCTCAGAGAAGGTAGCTTCCTCGACATACGAGAGAGAACTCTACGCTCTTAGGCAGGCCTTAGAGCACTGGAAGCATTACCTGTTTGGGAGGCACTTCAAGTTGTATTCAGACCACGAGACACTTAGATGGTTGAAGACACAGGCCAAAATGACACCTAAGTTGACTAGGTGGGCTGAGATAGACCAGTATGACTTTAAGCTCAAGCCTGTTAAAGGCAAGTACACTGTAGTCGAGGACGCTCTGAGTAGGAGATCAGACTACTTTGGAGCTAAAGTTCAATATCTGGATATAAGGAGTGACCTGCAGGAGAGAGTTAGACAGGCGTATGCGCAGGACCCTATTTATAGTGACCTCCTGAAGAGAGTTAAGGAGGCCCCAGAGACCGAACCACATTACCGCACTACAGAGGGATTGTTATTTGAGAAGACTAATGTAGTAAGACCATCTGTGCGTTCCTAACAACGGGGAGATCCGTCGTTTATCCTAGGGGAACGCCACGACACGGAGGGACATTTCAATTGGCAAAAGACTCTAGCCAATCTGATGCATGTGTACACTTGGCCAGGAATGAAAGCTGACTGCGTAGAGTATGTCTGCAGTTGCAAAGTATGCCAGAGAAACAAGAGTACTACGTGTGCCCCTCTAGGCCTTCTCGGACCCTTGCCTATTCCTGATCAGCCAGGAGATTCAGTGTCCATTGACTTTATGGACGCTAGCGTCAAGAGTAGGCATGGTAAGAGCCAAGTCATGGTCATAGTTGATAGATTCGGTAAGTATGTTGTTTTTGTTCCTTTGCCTGCAGAGGCACGATCTGAGCTAGTAAGAAGTTTTTTTACTATTGGATTAGTGATCACGAGATTCCGCTGTCTATAGTTAGTGATAGAGACACCCGTTTCATGAGTCAGAACTGGTAGGAACTGGTGAAAGTTTATGGATCAAAGTTGTTGATGTCGTCTGGCCGCCATCCAGAGACTAACGGTCAGACTGAGCAGATGAACAAGATCCTGCAGCAAGTTCTGTGCATGTACATTAGACCGGATCAAGTCAATTGGGATGAGATGTTGCCCAAGGTAGCCAGTGCGTACAATAATAGTGTGCATTTGTCCACCTGTCGCACTCCCAACGAGTTGCACAAGTCCTTTAGACCGCGCAGACCGTTTGAGGGACTTAACCGGGACCAGTTTCATAGGCTACCGCCCGGTACCAGGAAGTTTGCGATACAGCACGAGAAAGAGCTAGCTACAGTCGTTGAGAACCTCAGGAAGGCCCAGCAGAGAATGATAGAGCAAGCCAACAAGCACCGTAGCCCATCGCAGTTCCAAGTAGGTGACTTAGTCTGGGTCAAGTCCAAAGAGTTTGCTCCTGAGGAAAACATCTCGCGGAAGTTACTGCCAGCGTACAGGGGACCATGGCCAGTTCTAAAAGTCAAGGGCGGAGAGGATGGGCCGTCCAACACAGTAGAGATCCTAGCACACCTCCACACCTACCCTGTGTTTCATGCATCAAAGTTGTTGCCGTGTGTCGCAAGTCGACAGTTTCCATCTAGAAGATCCATGATCCCGCCAGACATGGACGGAAGGTACGACATTGACGGCATTGTAGGTGAAGATGTGTTTAGAACAGGAGGTAGAGGTCGTCCACAGAAACAATACAAGGTCCAGTTTGCTTATCAGGAGCCAGAGGACGACCGCTGGTTTACTAGGACAGAACTTCTAGAAACAGCTCCCGACATAGTTAGAGCCTATGAGAGATATTAGAAAGGTAAAGGTCCTGCCTTGGACTGAGTTATTCTCGGAGGACCTTGAATTTAAGCCGGCGGGAGTGAAACGG